ACCCAGCCCGCCCCTGGTCTGGGGTGCTCCCATCACCGTCTCCGCCTGCTCTCGGACATAGGGACTCTACCCCTGCCCACTTGTATAGAAGTACCGCCCCGGAGTGCTCCTTGTGGCCGGCAATCCGGTCCTAGACCTGCGCTTACTGGGCGAACTCTTGGCGAGCTAGCGTGGCGGTACAACGGAGGCCGCGCGCGTCACACGTTGAACCCTTCAGAGCCACACCCCACTTGTCACTAGGCTGCACGGCGGGAACCTCGCGGTGGCCGAAGCCTGCAGGTCTCCGGTATTGGGCACAGACTCTCGCGCAGCTCGTGTGCACCTTGGCTGCGGACTTTGCAGTGGTGGTGGGAGCTGTAACTACTCCCCTCCAGATTGAAATGCCTGCCCGCGGAGCCGAACGCGCCCAGGAGATGCGCAAGCAAGGCCGGGAGCCTCTGCCTTTGGCTCGGAGGAGCAGACCCCGAATCCTGGCCCGCCCTAAACACACTGTGCAAAACCACAATCTGGGCCATTTGGGAAGGGGGAGGAAAGAGGCACAAACGCACGTGAGGATCCGGGGTCGCGGGGCTGGCCTTGAGCTGCCCTGCCCACTCTCGCGCACTTAGGGTTTTGACTGGAAGTCCCCAGGGGCGGAGACTGCTCCAAAGCCATCCTCGGGGTTACCTCCAGGGCAAGGGTGGGGGACAGGTGGCACGGGCCGGCCGGACGCATTCTTCACCTCCCCTCCCCCATCCTCCTTCCGAAATACTCAGAACGCAAGACCGGATTGGTTCAACTTCATCCATTTATTGGGGACTCAGGTTGAGGGGCGGGGAGTGGCTGCAGCGGGTCGTCCGGGGTCTGGGGGTCCTCACTCAGCGGTATTTCTCGGTCAGCACGGAGGACACGACGGACAGGAACTTGTCCCAGGCGGCGTGGGCCTCGGCCGTGAAGTCGGCGGGGAAGCGAGCGGCCATGGTCACCAGCAGGCAGTGAGACAGGAGCTGGGGGCAGAGACTGCTCAGCGCGGGGTGGGGGCTGCTCTGGCGGGGACCCCGGCCCGCTCCCTGTCTCGTCGCCACCCCGCCCACCTTGCAGCGCGCTCACCTTGAAGTTGACGGGATCCACGCGCAGGATGTAGGCGTGCAGCTCGCTCAGCTTGGACAGCGCAAGCGAGATGTTGTCGATGTTCTTGACCGCGTCGCCCACGGCAGCCACCACTTTGGAACCGTGCGCGCGCAGCTGCGCGGAGCCCGGGTGCAGGTCAAAGTGCGGGAAATAAGTCTTGGTCTGCGGGTAGCCTGCGAAGAGCCTGGAGGGCGGCGGGTTTTGAACTGGGAGCCCCCTATACTCCTGCCACGATGTGTTCTAGCTGCTTCTTCGACGCTCACGTGTTTGACTAGAGATTCTCCACTTGTCTGAGTTAGAAATGAAGCAACACCTTTGAAGACTCTCCCCCTGTCGCACACCCATTCGACCTCCCTACACTGCCTCCACTTCAGCCCCATTGTGGCTGTGTGCTTGCTAACTCCTGGGTCTCCACAGTCTGGTCTCAAAACCCACTGCCCTTTGTGTCCAGTGCGGCCACCACTTGCCTTACACCCATCTGTGCCTCTAACCCACTGTCAGTCTGTCAAAATCGGCCCCTCCTGCCATCAAGTCTACTCTCTTCAGAACTTGTGTCTTAAGGAAACTTCCCCTAGCCGGTGGTCATCTCAGATGTCTGGTCTTTAAGCATTTCAGACAGTTAAAACCTCCGAGCACTCTGAGGGAGGGGCCCAGGCCACCTCTTCATATGCAGTGACCACAGGCCAGGCACTATCCAGTCTCACTGACCCCTGTCATTGTCCTCCTCCTCCCTGGCCCCTCTTCCTCACCCAGGGTCCATTCAGACCCACTTAGTGCCTCACCTCTCCAGGGTCTCAGTGCCGATGCTGTCGGCCTGTGTAGAGATCTTCCCCCACATGGACTCCATGATGTCCCGTTCAGCCTTGGTCAGAGACATGGTGATGACTTTGTGGGAGCTGGTGGAGCTCAGGACTAGCCTCAGTGATGTTCAGTCCCCAGAGTCCCTTAAATGAAGTGGAGGGCCTAGCCAGACCCCCAGGCGGGGGAGGGGACCTTGGGATGGGGTCTCTTATCAGGTCCTGTGACATGGGCAGTGGGGCCTGGTGGTACTGTTGGCCTGAGGGACTATCACTCCTGCCACTCGCTAGGTTCTAGGGAGATAGGGGCCTTGGTCTGCTGGCCCCTGCATTGTCCCTGACCTCCCTGCCATGGAAAGAATAGTCCAGAACTACTAGGACCTCTGAGAAACACTTTGAATTGGTCACTCCATTGAATCCCCAGGAGCTTAAGCTGAATGATGTCACGTTAGACAAGCCGGGCCAGAGGCTGGGGTCCCTTTTCTTCCTCCTGGAACTCAGTGAGGAGACGCCCTGAGCTTGGGCCACACAGCCGGCTCTCTTCTGTGTTCTAGCTGCGTGGAGCCTCTGAGTCTGTGAACTTACATCTCTTTACCGTCTTAGCTTAGTTCCTCCCCACTTCTCCTAAAGCAACTAGTTCAAGGTGCTTAATACGTTCCTTTAGTTGCATAGGGTCCTGCAAAAGGCACTTTATTTTTCATCTTGATAGTAACATTCTTTTTATTTTTATTTTATTTTAACTTTTTATTGAATTCAGTCAATGTTTACAGAGCAGGTCCTCTTAAATTCATCAAATCGTATCCTGTGCTTCATTACACTGATTACAATCCCTTCCATGTGCTGACAGTTAACAGTATTTACCTCTATTCATTTAACTCTTGCATTCCTCCCTGTGTCTCTCATTACCTCCATCTTCTCTCTGTGCATTTTTTAAAAACTCTTTTTTAACTGTTTTATTTTGGATTATGTGATAGTTTACATGGGAGAACATTAGCTTTACATGTATCCTATCGTATATTGTTTCATTGCCATGGTTACAATCCCCTCCATGCCTCATCAACCATCTCTGTGCATTTTTAAAAAACTCTTTTTTAACTGTTTTATTATGGATTATGTGATAGTTTACATGGGAGAACATTAGCTTTACATGTATCCTATCGTATATCGTTTCATTGCCATGGTTACAATCCCCTCCATGCCTCATCAACCATCTCTGTGCATTTTTGTTTTTATGCATACATTTTTAGTTTATGTAACAGAACGTCTGCCATTTCAGCTGTCTTTAGTGTAGAATTCAGGGACAGTCATTATTTCCACCCTGCTGTCCAACCATCACCACTGTCCACTCCTAGTATCGCCCCAAACAGAGACTGTGCCTAGTAAACAAAAGCTCCCCAGCCCCTGAGACCCTTGATATGGGATGTAAGTGGGACCACACATGATTTGTCCTTTTGTGTCTGGTTTATTTCATTCAGTATCGTGTCTTCAGGGTTCACCAGTGTATGTATGTGTTTAAAATTTAAATAAATTATAGCCTGATTTGAACTTATAATTATATTAAGCCTGTCCTTATAGGCACATCTTTTATGGAATATACACCTTTTAAAACAGGAAGGAACATGCCTGGAAATACAAATGGGCTTTGTTGTTGTTGTTAAGTGACATCCAGTTGGTTCCAACTCAGAGTGACCCCACTGATTTCTGAGGAGCGGCTGGTGAATTTGAACCACCAACTTTGTGGTTCAAACTGACCTTGAAAGAAAGGTCCAGTGCATTATCTGACAGTGACGCTGGGACACGTGCTCATGGAAGCAGCAGTCAAGAAATCAAATGACATAGTGCATTAGGCAACACCTCTTTAAAGTGTTAAAGAATAAAGCTGTCAGTTTGAGGATTTAGGTGCACCTGACCTAAGCCATGGTATTTTCAAGTATCTCACAGGCAGGTGAAAGTTGGACAATGAATAAGGAAACCCATAGAAGAATAGATGCACTTGCGTAATGGTGTTGGAGACGAATATTAAGAGTACCATGGCCTACCAAAAGACCAAACAGCCCTGTTAGAAGTGTATCCAGCATGCTCCTTAGAAGCCAGATGGCAAGACTTCGTCTCTCATACTAGGAACATGTTATCATGAGAGGCCAGTGCGTGGAGAAGGACATAAGTGTGGTTAAATGGAGGATCAACGATAAAGAGGAAGTTCCCCAAAGAGGTGGAGTGACACAATGGCAGCACCAAGGAGCGGAAGCCGTCACAATTGTGAGGATGGGGCAGGACCCGGAAGTGTTTCGCTCTATTATGCATTGGGTCACTGTGAGTCATAGCCACCTAGAGGGTATCTAACGGCAACAACACAGGTAGGACTGTTAACAACAGCCCACTCTCTTGTTTGCTTTGCTTCTGTTTCTGCCATGCTCTCAGTGTATTCTCCCGTGCTCAAAGCAACGCGTTCCCTGTGTGTCTTCTCATTGGACACGTACGTTGTACCCACCTGACCTTGCCATACATAGCCCTTTTCTGCACCTAGGCTGCATTCCTGGCTGAGGGTCCGTCCAGGTCTGGCTGGCTGGAGACCCTCCTGGAGCTGATGTTCTCCCTGTGCCTCCTGCCATTCCCTCACCCAGGATGCCTCCGCTGCTCCTCTTCTCGGGGTGGGTTCTCAGGGGAAGAGGCAGATGACTCAGTCCTGCCCCCCACAAAGGTTGTGCTGACCCTAAGTCCCCCTGTGGACCAGATTCCACCAAGCCTGGTCAGTGTTCAGATTTATAGTTTTGTGTGTCTGTGGTAATAAATAGGTAACAAACACATGGTTGTCCTTTGTGTGGAGGTTGAACATGTTCCCACACGATGACTGATAATTGTGAGTTGTCTGGGAGTCAATTCTGACTCATGGTGATTGGATGGTGCAGAGTAGAAATCCACAAGGTTTTCAAGGCTGTGGGGACCACCCGGCCCTATCTCTCAGGTGCCTCTGAGTGGGTTTGAACCACCAACATTTTGCCTAGTTGTTGGGTGCTTTACCATGGGTGCCACCTAGGCACTCCCAAATGATGGCTAGAATTCATGATTTTTATGCAGAATTTCTTTGCTCGTTTTCATCAACTAGTTCTGTAATTTGGTTCGAGACACACACTTCTATATACACCCACAAACATAGCCACCCACTGTCATAAAGCTGATTGGACTCACAGGGAGCCCATGAGTAGAGTTGGTGCAGATCTTTATGAAAGCAGACTGTCACTTTCTTGGCGCAGCTGGTGGGGCAAGGCCAACAAGAGGGCGCAAAGCCTGGATTCATCACACCTGCCCCGAGGTGGGTAGTGAGGCTGCTCTTATCTTGGAAGAGCCTGCCTTGCTCTCTGGTCTCCCTTTCACCAGGATGAACTATGAGGGGTGCTCAGACTCACCTGGAGTCCTGGTGTGGTACTGCAGGATAATGCGCTAGACTGCAAGTCAGTTTGAGCCACAAGGTCGGAGGTTCAAACTTACCAGCCACTCATCGGATACCCTACACAGGGTCACTATGAATCAGAACCAATGCTACGGCGCTTAACAACAACAACAACAACAACAACAACAGGATCTTCTGGAGCTAGGGAAACAGGCCCCAGGGGAGAGATCAGTCAGGGGTAGGCCCAGGACCTCAAGAAAGACACCCCTGAGACCCAGGAGACAGATTTCTAGAGACCAAAAGGACCCTGGGATGGTGAGGTGATTCCACTCATGCCAACCCTATGTATGCAGAGTAGAACTGCTCCACAGGGTTTTCAAGACGGTGACCTTTCAGAAGTACATCGCCAGCCCTGTCTTCCTAGGAGCATCTGGTTGGGTTTGATCCAACAACCTTTCAGCTAGTAGTCGAAGAGTTAACGGTTCGCACCCCCCAAACTCTGTTGTAAATTTGCCTGATTGGGAGATCAATAGCATACAAGGGCTTGAGCAAATAATTAAATATGTTGAAGACAATGAGAGCCAGTATTTTCTCTGTCAGAAAAGGAAAGTTCAGATCTACAAAGGGGAAGGATTAGAAATGATCATGTGGTGTCGGAATGCAATCGGAGACACTGGTGTGAGGCTGTGGTTTTTAGTGTGTTTAGTTGGATTATGTGCCCTTGATCTGGTTCTGACTCATAGTGACCCTATCCTGCCCTCCTCACAACTGTTGTTTGAAACTATTTCAACATGCATATGAAGCAATTAAAAATGCCATCGGTTGGGCCATATGCGTTTGAGTTATAGCGTTATATTAAAAGTACCATGGACCCTCAGAGTGACATCTTTGCACTTGGACACTTCTGCAGCAGACTTACCCAGTGTAGTACATCATTACGTCATTGCATTTCTTGGCTGCTGCTCCCATGGGCATTGACTATGGATCTGAAGAAGA